CGTCAAAATTGCCAAGTTGTTCGATAAAGTATCTCTCACAATGGCTCCTTTAAAACTCTGCCAATCAATCAGTGCGTTCCCATGATTCATTCTCGGTAAACGCACGCTCAAAAGTTGTGTATTTTTTTTTCAGATCGCTCTTGTCAAAGCTAAACTCTAATTTTTCGCTCAATATCGAGAAAAAAAGATTTGTACTTGAAAATACTTCCCTTTTGTGCGATATATATTTTTTTAAAGAGAAAATTGTCAAAACTAAATCGTGAGCGGTTTATCTAAGGGGCACGCATGGCAAAATTTCGTTCGCTCAGGGAACCAACCAGAATTTTCCTTGTTCATCTTGTACAAGATTGCCATATGATAAAACACAGTATTGAGAGAATTGCGCTGATATAACGATATCAAGAAATCTCGAATCTTTATCGTGCCTCAAGTTTCAAGAATTATATCTATAAAGTAAATGAAGTAAAAATTGTTTGTGCTTTATAACAGCTAAATACTTAAAGCTGCCTAGCTACTGGCAGCTATGGCAAAAATGGTTAGACCTTTTGGACTTAACGATTTTCCATGTGCGCGTGTTCATTGAAGATTTTCAATGAGCAATAACAAACCAATGCTTTTCTGACAAACCAATCACAGAACAGCTCTTCAGAATTTACCTTCCCATGGAATTCCTAGAATCTTCCGATAGCTGAAAATAGTAGCTATTAACAGTATTCCACCAGAACCAAATCAACCACTCCTCTTCCAAACCTCAATTATAATTTGAATGATTTAATATGAAATGGATGGAATATATCAAACACGAAAGACGGTGTTTGACTATATTTCCAAACGCCGAGAAGAGAGTTGAAAATAACTTGAGCGCGCAGCGGAGTATTTTTGATGAACTTCGAGGTGTTTGGAAACGTGGTCAAACACTGTCTTGAGTGTTTGATGTACCCTCTCAATCAAAACTAACACTTAAGAGAAAAAGGTGAAATAAAATCGAAAAAAGCTATGCTAATTTAGATTAGATATCCAAACAACGTCACGGTCATTATTTCCTTTGTTTAAACTTGATGAACTATTAGTACGTTTGAGAAGCATTATTCCTGTTATATACAAACAATTTGAAAGAGTTCCAAACATGTTCAGAAACCGTACCCTCAAAAAGTAATCCTGCGGGGTTTAACATCTCGTAGACTTGAGAAACCGATATTTCGAATTCTGCCGATGTATAAATTTGTTCTCCAAATGTAGCCATTAGAACGTTGCAGTTTGACTGTACACTAAATAAATCAAGTAATTACTTGTTATTGCCTTAATTTTAATTGTAAATCGAAAAGGTTTTTGCCATCAGGAAGTAATGATTGGACTTTGGATAAGTCTTATCTTCGTTATATAACTAACAAAGTTCTCCGAATCATTTTCAGGCGACTGACCTCGTCAATAAAATTCACTTTGTGGTATCGATGATACGCTCTAAGGCGTGTACTCAACTTGGGAAAAATGTGTAAAAGCCAAGTGCTTCTTTC